CTAAACCCTAAACCCTAAACCCTAAACCCTAAACCCTAAACCCTAAACCCTAAACCCTAAACCCTAAACCCTAAACCCTAAACCCTAAACCCTAAACCCTAAAGGGCCCATACTCGGAACCTTCGACATGAGGCACTTACTTCCGAGCCGCCGCGAGCTGCGCGACCGAGCCGAGGAGAAGGAGGCTTTTGGGGTTTGGGGTGTGGGGTTTGGGGGTTTAGGGTTTAGGGTTTGGGGTTTAGGGTTAAGGGTTGAGTGTTTAGGGTTTGGGGTTTGAGCTCTGGGGTTTAGGGGCAGAGGATTTGGGATTTGATGGTTCAAGTTAGTGTTTAGTGCTTGGTGTAGGTTTGTCCGGGCTTGTTTGGGGTTGGATCGGGGGTCGGGTTTAGAAGAGTTTAGAATACATTCGGGTTTAGGGTTTAGGGTTCGGGGTTAGGGTTGAATGGGACCTTAACTAGGAGCAGGGCTGATGGGGTTAGGGCTCGGGCCTGCGGTTGGGGGAAGCATGGTTTTGCTAGGATGCTGTAGCTATGCGCGAAAGCGGCCCGGCAGGGAGGACTGAGATACGGTAAGCGGAAGGAGAGCTAAACTCAGGCAGCTCCGAAAGAGGAGAAGCAACAAACAAAATGGACGGATCCTGTAGGAAATGTGCCATCTGAAGAGAAGGTGCGAATATCACAGTATCAGAGTGTCAGCATATCGTACTATATCAATACAACAATATGGTAGCATAATCATAGAATATAATCAAAATGTAGTAGTATAAAGATTGGGAGGGCCGCACTACCTACTGGGAACAAGTAATGTCGGCTGATGGAGCAAGTACTGAGTACCTGGACCCAAACCCACAGAAACTGATTTGCTTGTTGGGATTCGTGCAAGAAATTCATCAGCGTGGTCCTAGTGCGACCTGAAGAACAAATGGAAGAAGATTAGTCCATTATGTCTTTGTCATGCCAAACCTTACGTAGCGGGCCCTTCCTAGCAGGTACTCCGGGACCCTAAACCCTAAACCCTAAACCCGAAACCCTAAACCCTAAACCCTAGAGGGTAGCTTGGGGGGTTCTGGCAAACCCCTCAGCCCTGTAAACCCTACACGCAGGAAATGCTAGAGGGTCCTATAGGGTCGACCGAGGATGAGGGAATCGCAGCCCTAGGGTTTAGGGTTTAGGGTTTATTGTTTAGGGTCCCTGGGTTTAGGGTTTAGGGTTTAGGGTTTAGGGTTTAGGGTTTAGGGTTTAGGGTTTAGGGTTTAGGGTTTAGGGTGCCCGGCCGAAGGCTTCAACCCTGTTGAGGGGTTATTGCATGTCAAGACTTGGCGTCTCAGAAGTTGCTGTGTGACCTTCAACCTTCGAGAATGTTTGGAGCCTCGGGTTCTCTGGGTTTCCCTACCAAAATAGTAATTTGGTTATAGCCCCGGAACTCCACACTTGCATTACACGCCTTCAGGGGTTAGCCATAGTGAAAAAATGCGACAAAGGGAGCAGGGAGGGCCCCATCTTCCCCAAATGAAGGGTTTGGGGCTTGGGGTCGGGGTTTAGGGTTAAGGTTCTAGGGTTTACAGGGTATAGGTTTTGGGTTTTTAGGGTCGTGCTTTTCTGAAACTCCTGCCCCCATCTCAGAAAGGCGCTCCGGCCAGTTGGCGAAGGCGCAGCGCCTTCGCCGCGGTGTTAATCCTTGGCTTTCAGAGTTCAAGGAAGTTAAGTTAGCGTACAGGGTTTGAAGGGTAAAGGGCTTAGGGTTGAGGGTTTAGGTTTTAGGGTTTAGGGTTAGCTATGAGAGCCCTTTCGAACCTGACCACTACACGCCCCTGTCGTTTTTTCAGCCCCACGCCTCTCAGCCTTTCGTGTTCAGTCCTGGAAGCCAGCATCAACAGCCCCTATGGTTTAGGGTTTAGGGTTCACGGTTTAGGGTTTAGGGTTTCAACTCTCAAGCTTGCAGGTAGTGGTTGTGCTAAAAGCTTAACTGGTTTTATAGAAGGGCTTCGTTCTCCCCAATCCTCCCTAAACCCTAAACTCTAAACCCTAAACCCTAAACCCAAAGTGAGCCTGAGCCCCGAAACTACACAGGAGCCAAAAGGGACTCCCTTTCAGAAGGGCCCCCAGAAATGCGCCTAAGGGCCTTTGCAAACCCTACACCCAAACCACCGAAAGCCTCGAAACTCCCCTTGCATTGGGTCTAGGGTCTAGGGTTTAGGGGTTAGGGTTTGGGGTTTAAGGTTTAGGGCTTAAGGAGTTGGATGTCGGGTTTAGGATTTCGCGCAAGCGGCTGAGGGGTAACCCTAAACCCTAAACCCTAAACCCTACACCCTGATCTGCAGATCATCTCAGGAGCGCAATGTCCGCGGGCTTATGCCCGAGGTGTCTGCGACTGCGGCCACCGACGACTGGGAGGAGCCGAGGAGCCTCTGGAGCTAAGTTTTTAGGGTTCAGGGTTGAGGGTTTAGGGATTAGGGTTTGGGGTTTTGGGGTTTAGGGTTTAGGGCCGTTTAGGGGTTAAGGTTTAGGGTTGAGGGTTGAGGGTTTAGGGTTTAGGGTGTAGAGGCACCTCTAGGGCCGAGACTATGTAGCTCGAGAGGTGTAGAAGTGTCAGTTCTATCCGGCCAAATATCTGGGACTGTTTTGATGTTGAAACCGGGAGTTTAGGGTAAAACTTATAGAACAGCGGTGGTCGAGCGAGTGGGGCAGCATGACCCCCCTGATCCCATAGGTTACCCCTAAAGTAAGCCGAAGCCTGAAACATAAATCCTAAGCCCTAAACCCTAGACCCTATAGGCCTTGGACCCTAAACCCTAAACCGCAAACCCTAAACCCTAAACCCTAAACCCCTACAACTGTCGGGCTTTAGGTGTTGCACCTTCAGGTGCCTTGGGCTCGAAGCAGCCAAGGATTCGGGAGCTTGCTACTCCAAAGGCACATCTCCTGGAAGGCTTGGATGTACCCTGGCCGAAGTCTTTGCCCTTTTTCCCTTTTGCTTTTTGGTTATGGGTTCCCCTTTGTAAAATAACCAACCCCAAAAAGGGTGCCCGTATCATAAGGAGGTTACTGGGCGACCAAGACTCTTATCCGGTTTGATTGGCTTCGGGTTGTGCAGACGTGGCTCTCACAGTGGCAGGCCAAAAAGATTATTCAACCCTAATCCCCAAGATGATCTTTCACTACCCACCCACGGCATTCTCGCAACACTAAGCCCTACTTGCAACCCCGAACCCTACAAGCTAAGAGGGTTCAGGGTGTAGGGTTCCGGGTACCCTTAACGCTCCCTTAGGGGGATGTTTTCACGCTCCCTTAGGTGAGGCATCGGCACCCAAAAAGGCAGATCATTGAGCAACCCGTGGCGATCCTGAGGCGTCCTGAACTAAAATGAAACCCCATTCCCCAGACCCTAAACCCTAAACTGCAAAAGTCCGACTCACTTTCAAAAAAAACCCTAAACTCCCTAAGCCTGGTTCTAGGAGTGGGTGGAGGTCCTGAGCTCCCCCCGAAACCCTAAACCCTTAGCCCTTGACAACGAAGCCTTAAAGCCCCTGCCCAGGATCGGTTCCTTTTTTTACAAGACAGCAGTCGCTGTTTTCCTATGTCTCAGCAATCGGGAAACCCAGTAAGACCCTTAAAACGCCCTCACAACTCGCAGAAGTGCCCATGTACTGGGGGGTGATTTGGAACATGTCTTCTATGGGCCCTTATCCCTATACAACCTTGGCAACCCTTTTTTTGAAATGCTTCACCCTACACCCTACACCCTACACCCTAAACCCTAAACCTCCCTAAACAGGACCTCCCCCAGTAGTTATCGCCTACCAGGTCCCTGGCCTGCCAGAGCACGCCCTGGCGCTGGCAGAGCGGCTCCGCTCCGCGCGGAGCGCAGGGGAGGCCCGAGGTTTGGGGTATGGGGTTGAGGGTTTGGGGTTTGGGGTTTAGGATTTAGGGTTTGGGGTTTAGGGTTTGGGGTTTGGGGTTGAGGGTTTGGGGTTGCGGGTTCGGGGTTTAGGGGTTGGGGTTTCGGGTTTGGGGTTGAGGGTTTATGGGGTTTAGGGCTGAGAGGCAATATCATTACCATGGTACGGTCAGAAGATACCAACAATGCCAAACCTAGCCAATTTTGTCCCTGTTGTTTTAATTTCCTGGAGGATGTAACGGTGATTCCTGTTTTTGTTTTTTATAGCTTGGGTGGGATCAGGGACAAGGGCTTTGAGCAGTTTAGGGGTTCAGGAAGGAGCAGGGCGTGGGTTTTTCTTCAGGGGATATTTGCCGGGAGTCCAACGAGGGGCCGGTAATCTTCTTGCCTGATTTGATTTGGGGGTTTACGATATTGGGGGGTACCTTATTGGGGTCCTTATTGTAAGGGGATCCTACTGTTTGGAGGTCTGTTTAAGGGGTCCCCCAACTGTTTGAGGGTGAAATTCCTGCATCTTGTAGATGTTTGGGGTTTGGAGTTTTGGGGTTTTGGGGTTTTGGGGTTTTGGGGCTTAGCCTCCTGTACCGCAAGGCTGGGCGTTTCAGGGTAAGCCTTCACATGCACCAAAACCTAAAGCCCTAAATTAGCGTTTCGGGCTTAGTATAGGGTTTAGGGTTCAGGGTTCAGAGTTTAGGGTTACAAAACCCCAAGGCCCTAAAACTGTGCACTTATAGATATTTGTATTGTTTTCATTCTTGACATATGTGATGCTTATTTCTGTGTATGTGAACACGCTAAGCCCGAAACCCTAGAGCCAACGCGTCCTAGAAGCCCCAAGCTCCAATCCCAGGATGTCATATCAAGGTCAAGCTCAACCCAAGAAACCCTGTACCCTAACCCTATCCCTAAGAGTCCATGTACCTAAATAGGGAACACTTAGGCCCCAAAGTCCCTATATAGGAGGTACGTTAAGGCCCAAGTGCTCCCTATTTAGGTACATGGACCCTTAGGGTATGTCCTAAACCCGATATCTAGCACCGCAAGCCCTATAGGAAGTATTCTTGGTGAGTGTATTTGTATGGCTCACTTGTTGACTTGAGTGCATGTATTGGGTGTCCGTTTGGTGACGCTATACAATGGGAGTCCGTTTTGGGGATGCAAAGAATAACGCACCTTGATTCGTCTCCCCTCTCCCCCCCCGCCATCGTGGCAGGTCTTGGCCCTGGGGGCTCGTGCTGTCGAGGCTGTGCACCCGAACCTGCTTGTTTCGTAGGTTCCCTGAAAATCCTGCAAAGGTCTTGCCCTTTTTCGGAACAACGCACGAAGTAGGTTAGGGTTCTTAAGTCTCCAGATAGTTCTTTGTTCGGCTTCAGGGTTGTGGTGTTCGGGTTGAGGGCTTCATAGCCGCAAGGTTTCTCCTAAGACATCTCGAGGAAATCAACCCGAAAGCCCTATGAATCCTCTTCCCCCCCCAGGGCCGCGCTAAGGTTTTGCGCTTGCTCCTTCTCCAGCACCCTAAACCCTCCACCCTAAACCCTCAACCCTTAATCTTAACCCTAAACCCTAAACCCTAAATCCTAAACCGTGGCCCCATATAATCAACTTCCCTGCAAAGGCAGTGAAGGTGGAAACCGACGCCGCGCAGCGCGCGCGGCGATTGGGGCACCTCCGCAGCCCAAAACTGGGGACTTTCGGGGTTTAGGGTCTAGGGTTTAGGGTTTAGGGTTTAGGGACCCAAAAAGCAACTCCATCCGCTTCAGGGTTTATAGAGGTTTAGGGTTTCAGGGTTTGTAGAGGTTTGGGGTTTCAGGGTTTAAAGAGGTTTGGGGTTTCAGGGTTCATAGAGGTGTAGGGTTTCAGGGTATATAGAGGTTTAGGGTTTCAGGGCTTATAGAGTTTTTTTGGTTGTCAGGGTTTTAGGGTTTTCGGGTTTAGGTTGTACGTTTGGGGCGTTTTTGGGTTTTGGGTTTGGGGTTTAGGGTTTCAGAGTTTATACGGCATTGGGATTTAAGGGTTTAGGGTTTTAGGGTTTGGGCTCTAGGGCTTTGGGGTTTTGGCTTCAGGGTTTTGGGTTTAAAGGGTGCTGGGGTTTTAGGGTGTAGAGTTTAGTCTTTTAGGGTTTGGGGGTTTTAGAGTTTTGGTGTTTTGGGGTTTGGGTGTTCAGGGTCTCGCGTTCGGGGCTTCAGGTTTTAGGGTGCAGGGTTTCAGGGTGAATGGTTTGGGGCTTCAGGTTTGGGATTTCCAATGGCCTCCCACTTTCAGTCATATCTTTGTTAGAAGCATCAAGAGAGGGGCTCCCTTTTTCCCAGGTGTTTTGGGACCCAGGTAGTAGGCTTTAGGGTTTAGGGTTTAGGGTCATGGGGTTTAGGGTTGAGAGTTCAGGGTTTTAAGGTTACTTGGCTGCCCAGTGGGGCCCTTTTGCCCTGTTTTTTGGTTCTAGTTTCCCTGATCAAGTAACCAACCCTCAACCAGGGCACCCTCATCATAATAAGGTTCCTGGGCTGCCAAGTTTCTGTAAGGTTTGCAGTCTAGGGTTCGGAGACAGGGTCTTGTCTACTTGTTCTCGGCGCTGTACACACACGCACCATCCACAGCTGCATAGGCATCAATTTGAGGGTTTAGGTTGGGATGTTCCCCCTTATACTAACAGTCCTTAATAGGCATTATCGTAGGGGCCGTAGTGGTTACTATAATCCCTACTAAGGACTGTTGTTAGTATAAGGTGGGAACATCCCGAGTTTAGGGTCTGCTCTTGGCCGCCCAGGCAGCTGGCAATGTCTCTGCAGCTGCTGGCGAAGCAGGCCACTGGCTCCAAGCGGCTTCCCATACTCCGGGACCGACGGCTACCGCCAATGCTGACAGCTCTGGGCGACCACGCGCAGGACACGGAGGTATCTCAGGGTTGTATGGGACATAGTATATATATATATAAATGCGAAAATATGTATGGGTTACTAGATAATAGGGTTTTGGGATTTGGGGTCCCTGGTAAGGGCCCCTGGCCTCCCTTCAGGTCTGGGTCTTGCCTGCCGCCCTCTGCGGCGTGGCGCGCCTCGGTGCCTTTGGCACCGGGAGCGCCCTATCGAGCTCGGCGGCCGCGGCCGCGGACATCTTGGTTCGAGCGGCTTGCTGTTGGTTAGGGAATGGGGGAATGAGGTACCCTATGTAATCTCTTAAAAGGGTATATATGTATATATACATATAGGGCCCTAAGTATTCTCCCATGTCCCTGCTAAGCAACAGTAAGGCGGCGGACGACCGATTCACCGACCTCAGCGCTGCACAGTCCAGCCTCGTGCTCGCCAGCCTCGCGCTCTCCGCCGAGATTTCGGCGTCGAAGGTCGGGTCCGCTCTACGGCAGAAGCTCGTCTCCACCCTCGAGCTCCGTTTCTAGGTAGGCCCTTGGGACACTTTTCTTCATAATTTTCCCGTATTTGGTTTAAGACTCATATTTTCCCTTATTGGGTTTAAGAGGATCATATTTCAGGAATAGTTTTTTCGAGGGTTTTCAAGGGCGCCATCCCAGGCTGCCAGGAGCTGCCCCCGCAGTCTGCTGCAGCCTTGGTGCCAGCATTGGTCAAGCTTCGCACTTCCGGAGGCACCCAGCTGGCGCCAGGTGGGGGAATAGGGTTTCGGGTTTAGGGTTTAGGGTTTAGGGTACATCACCAGTCCCTTAAAGCTGCTTTTTGGTCATAAGTTCCTCACGATTAGCTGCCACTTCCAGTGTGTGCATTGAACAAAAGTAAGTCTAGAAGCCCCACTGCGCCCTAAGCCCCATAACCCGAAACCCGAAACCCTAAACCCTAAACCCTACAGGCCTTAGCCACATAAGCCTGAGCCCAAGCCCTTTAAGCCCTATAAGAATTAATGGTTCAACCCTACACCCTATAAACCCGCAACCCTAAACCCTAAGCCCCAAGCCCCAAGCCCGAAACCCTAAACTTTGCCCTAAACCCTAAACCCTAAACCATAAACCCTAAACCCTAAACCCTACCCTAGAAACCCCATATATATATATATATATTTTGATATATATATATATATAAGCCTTAGCCCTACCAGCCTGAATGGCTCAGCCCTTTCCCTCCCGCAGGTGTGGCGCAGCGCATCGTGGAAAGCCCGGGCCTGGCTGCGACTGGTTTTCAAGACGACATAGGGTTTAGGGTTTAGGGTTTAGGGTTTAGAGTTTAGAGTTTGGGGTTTGGGGTTTGGGGCTTAGGGTTTAGGGTTAGGGGCTTGGTGAGGTTGGGTCCCTATTTTGGGGGGTGCAGGGTTGCAAGGGCTTCTGGGTTTGTGCTAATCCCTCTCAGGGATTACTTCAATGGGATCCCCCGACAAGAGAGGGCTATCTACCGGGGGATGTTACTTGCATTGTTTAGGGTTTAGGGTTTAGGGTTTGGGGTTCAGGGTTACCCCCCCCTTCCCACAGGCAAGTGTCGCCCAAATGCACAGAGGCTGTTGAGGAACCCCAAGCCCGAAATCCTAAACCGCAAATCCCAAACCCTAAGAGTCCATGTATTATGTACTTTGGGTCCCAAAGTCCCTCAATGTTTAGGGCTTAGGGTTTAGGGTTTAGGGTTTACCGAAGCTGCGAGGTAAATGACATCGCCACAGCGGCTGCGGGGCTTGCAGCGTTGCGCGCCACGCCCCCGAGGCTTCTGGAAATGGCCGACAAAGCCGTGCAGGAACAGGTGCGAGTTGGTCCTAAGTCCTGAAAGTAGGGTTTAGGGCTTAGGGTTTAGGGTTTGCGGCTGTTTTTGTTGGTGGGGTGTTGTTTGGGTTGAGGGTTTTATGGGTCTGGAGGGGTCTTGGGAGATCAGTGCCATGCATAAGGTCTTTCTCTCTATACCCTCAACCCTAGGTGGGCCCTTGGATTCGGAGGATCATGTTTCGAAAATACTTTCAGAGGGTTTTGAGGGCCATCCTAGAACCCTGCACACTACAAACCCCGCACCCCACACCCTAAACCCTAAACCCTAAACCGATAAATTCTAACCCTAAACCCTAGCCCTAAACCCTAAACCGTTTAAACCCTAAAGCCCACAGCCAGGTGCACCTCTGCACCCCTCGAGCCGTGGTCCAGCTTTCTGCCTCCCTCAGCGAGGGCGGCGCCGACCACGACACCTTCAAGGAGCGTAGATGACGATCATCAAACCAGATGTTTCTCTGTTTATATACCTATGTATATATGCAGACACAAACATATACGTATATGCATATTATATATATATATACATATGCATATATATATATATATGTATATATATGTATATACACATGGAACTTACAAAAATAGCAGTCATCAACAACATATTCAGCATGGTCATAGGGCACAAATCAAAACAGGTCATTGCAATCGCAGTCGTCAGAGGAAAAGCGAAGGTCTTTTCTAGCAGTGCATGTTTAAGCAAATGGCAAACCCGAGACAAATACAGAATGTGAATTATAAATAGTTGTCAGAACATCATAGCAAATTGATCGTAGTACTTTGTCTTTTTGACATAACAAAGGGTAAAACTGAAACCGAAACTGGAAGATCGTAAATAGAAGAAGCAGAACATGGGGAAACATAATATAGTAAGCAGTAAATGTCAGTAGCAACAGCAATGGCCATAGTCAAAGTGGCAATCGTACTAGCAACAGCAGTCGTAGAAGCAGAAGAAGAAGGACTACCTGATGCCCGCCGCGCGGTCATTCCTGCTGGACTTCGGCCCACGCGACCTCTGCACCCTGGCCGAGTCCTTTGCCAAGGCTACGGCGGCTGAGACGGATTTCATCGTCGACCTGGCAGACACCCTGAAGTCCAAAGTGACCGACATGGGCCCACACGAAGTGTCTGCCTCTTGGCTTGGCTCTCAGCAAGGCTTCAGTAACGGTTTTTGAGGATGTCACAGTTCTGGCAAATGCAGCACAGTGGTGATTGGCTTAAGAGGACGCAACTATATAGATATAGTTAACATCAGATATCAGCAGCATATCTAAACAAAACAGCAACGCTTGGTCTATTCGAGTGTTTTGGGGTACCTACGATAACACAGGCCCAACCCCTCCCCCCCAAGCAAACAAACAATAAACAGGTGGAGTTCAATTTTGAAATGGCCGCATCCTCGCGACATCAAGAGGTAGCTTTCCTCATCTTTGCGCCTGTCTCCTACGCCGTGCCAGAGCTGGTTCCTGCTGTTTCACAGCAGCTGACGCGTTGCTGGCATATGGGGGCTTAAGGGCTGACAGGGTTTAGGGCGCGTGGGGGTGGGGGAAAAGGCCGGGGGGGGGGGGGGGGGCTGAGGCAGACGCTTTTGGGGTTTGTTGGGTTTACCTGAAGAACCCAAAACCTACCTTTTGTGGAAGCTTACCTCAGAATCCTACAAGGGCTTCTATACTAAGAACCTACCAAATCTAGTTCAAACATTGGTAAGATTTCCGGAAGTCGTGAGCAATATCCAGGACCCCCTGGTCAAGAGGGGATGATAGCCTTCACGATGCCACTCGTTCCCTTCAAGCCTCTACTCAGCTTGTCGATTCCTTGGCACGCTGAGGACAAAACCCTAAGCCCGAAACCCGAAATCCCGAAGGGTTTAGGGTTGAGGCCCTAAATCCCAAGCCCTATCAACCCTGTGAACCCTATAAACCCTGGCAAAACCTTGCAAACCCTATAAACCCTAGCAAACCCCTATGAACCCTTAAAACCCTATAAGCCCTAATAAACCCAACAAAGAACCTTTTTTTTTTTTGGGGGGGGGGGGGGGGGGTAGGGGGGTTGGGGACAAGGAAAGGCTTGGTCGGCGAGCTCTCACCGAAGCAGTTGGCGCATGTCCTCCGTGGATTGAACGCCTGCCACTCGAAGAGCTTAGATGCGCATTTAAACCCTAGACCCTAGACCCTAAGCCCTAAAACCCTAAACCCTAGCCCTAAACCCTAGCCCTAAACCCTAAACCCCCCAAAATAGGGATTCAGGGTGTCGGGCTGCCCTTTTTGGAATTTCCAAATACTGAGGATTGTGGCGTTCGAGGCCTCCGATCAACCTAAACCTTGAAAGAGAAATCCTGTACCTGCCGGGCAGTTTAGGGGGTTTAGGGGTTTAAGGGGTTTAAAGTTTTAGGATATAGAGGTCAGGGTTTCAGGATTTGGGGTTCAGGGCTTCAGGGTTTAGAGGTTTCAGGGCTTCAGGGTTTTAGTTTTTTTCGGGTTTGAGGGGGCCGTACAAGACTCTAATTCAGAAGTGAGGAGTGTCGCATGCATCTTATCTTAGAGCAGGGCTTGGACATCGTATCCTGGCTTGGCACAAAAAGGCTCAGTAGCTGAGTAGACTACCTTGAACCTTTTGGGGTATATACAATCCTACCATCATTGAAAGGATACCCTTTTTTGGGCCAGGGTACTCAGCAACTAGGAGGGCCTTTGCATCCCTCGAGCCCTCAGCCCGCCTAAGGCAACATCGCAGACGCCCCGCTCTTCGAGGTTCACGACCCTGTTCCCGCCATAGAACACATGGGGATTTACGATATACGGGATTACCTTATTTGGGTTGTGAGTAGAAGGGAATCCTACTATTTGAAGGTCGAAATTAGGGGCCCCTTCTTTTCGGAAGCCTCCGCGTGAACAAATATTTCACAGCAAGGTTCAGGGGAGTATGGGATGCGAAGTTAGCAGTGACAACCGTGCTTTAGCAATGGCAGTGCCACTAGCAACATAGGAGTATAGGAGAGGCTGGGCTTCGCAATGGCCAGTTCGCCCAGTAGTGGTCCCCTTCTGCGTTCCGACGAATAAGGGGGCAGTATATAGTTTCTCAGGAAACCCCAAAAAGACCAAGGGTTTAGAGTTTAGGGTTTAGGGTCGAGGGTTTAGGGTTTAGGGTTTCTGGTGGAGGTTCTGAGACGCCGGGCGTCGCAGCTGAGCCACGTCTTTTTCGGGACGCACGCTGCCGGGCTCGAATGGCTTCACGGTCTATTACCCCTTGTATACCCCAAATAGAATAGGATCCCCTTAAGGGACCCTAAAAAGGGTGCCCCCATTATCGGAAACCCCCACGTAGCCTATTGAATATTGAAACAGGGAAACATTGGGGCAGGGGGTTGCGATATTAGAGGGGGGGGAGGGATCATTCTGCTGCCCTGAGTCAAAGGTATGAACTGCAACCCCCCAATACCCTAAGCTGGGCACTGGGGTTCGGCCTAAACCCTAAACCTTCCATGTTGTGGGGGGCTTCTAGGAGAGCCCTATGCCTCAAGAAGAGGGCCTTGCACATCGGGTCAGTTCTCAAGATTATGGTCCCTGTTGGGGTACCAAAAATAAAAGAGGCCGCCTTGTCATCGTGTCCCGAAAGGGCACCATATCTTTCAGTAACTCCCAAAACCAGTTCGCCGGTGATGAGTTTTATGATCACTTGTTCCCCCGAAAGCCCGTTCGCCTGTGATGATTGTTATGACCATTTGTTTAACCCTAAACCCGAAACCCTAAACCTTAACCCTAAGCCCTAAATGCAAGGGTCGTGCTTGCAACCGTGGCCCGGAAATGCCGGTGCCATGCTCTGAAGACCGGACCAGCTAGGGATGCTTGACGGCCCTTGTAAAAAAATGTAGGGGTCGGAACAGTTACGAAGAATAGTCTTTTACGGTTCCTGTATACATATACTATATAATACTGTAAACCCCAAAACCCTATTCTAATTATTCAGGCCCCTATGTTAGGTTGTTCCAGGATGCAGAAGGAGAAGCTGACTAAGCACTTCACCTCCTCCGGTTATCGGGGTCGACCCTCACCTAAACGGTATATATCTGGGCCCCGCAGCCACTTCGCACTTAAACAGCCCATGCACACATACCGTATTTAGGTACATAGATCCTTAGGATTCGTCCAAACAGCCCTTGCCTATTTATTGCCGTACATCGACCCTTAGGATTCGTCTTGACCAGCCCCTGCCAGAGGCCGTCTCGGCACTGGTTGCCTTCGCAGAAGCCGAGCAGATTGACGTTCCGACAGTCCGCACGCTGGGAGATGCCGGGCCGAAAGGTTTCGATATGGGGGTTTCCGACAATAGGGGTCCCCTTTTTGGGGGTCCCTTTAAGGGGATTCTATTCTATTTGGGGTGTAAAAAGGGTACACCTTTTTTGGGAATTCCCATATGACATGTGATCTTATGCTGCCCACTCCTGCTTGCAACTGCCTAATCCTTAAGACCGGCACAAAATAATGGGACATAGGATCCCATGATTTGGGGATCATACCTCTGGAATCTCTGGAGGGATTCGGCTTATGGGCTTTGTGTTGTTGCGGAACTCCCAACATTGATTTGGGAGATAACCTCACTGCCGATCGGCATGCGACTCATGGATTCAGGAGACGATCCTCCGGCATATCGATAGGCTCCCTGCGCAGGAGCATGGAGATGTCGCCCTCTTGCGATGTTGGGTAGATTTTGGGTTTTCGCACACCAAGTTCTGTGCCTGCAGTGGGTTAAGTCTGACCGGTTGACGCCTGTCAGTGCGATAGCTGTGTACCGTGTGTTTTCTGAAGACGGGTCTATATAGTCAATGTCGTCTGCTGCAAGCTTGAGGCTGTTCGTGTGCTGACTCATCGGTGCAGAAAGATGTGTCGAGCTGGTTCTACCTGAATCATCCTGGTCATGTACCCCGAAATTCTTGTCCCTAAAGCCGCGAAAGGACTACATCGTGGTGCTGACCGTCGTTTCACGATTGTCGGTTCTCTGGCTGCCCACAGCCCTAAAACCTCAATATGAGATAAGTTTAGGTATTTTATGTAGAACACAATATACTAGAGGGTATGTACGTGCAAAAGAGAGTAAATTCGTACATATATATATATATGTATGTATGTACGTAATACAAACATACATATGTATTCTACACACACACATCAACTATACATTCAGCATCCCAAAACAACCCCCAGGAATCCAAATCCTTTGACCTGTTTTCTCTTCAACCTTAAACTCGAAACCTAGTACCTATATCTCACCCTAACCCCAAGCACAAGGCAGACACCCGCCTGGTGAGCCTTCCCCCGAGCTTCGTGGAAGAGCTGCTACAGGCACTGCAACTGGTGAGTCGGTCCGAAATCCTCAACAGCATCGACCTCCCTGTAAAAGGTGCAATGCACCCTAAACCCTGAACCCTAAACCCCAAACCCTAAGCCCTAAACCCTGAACACACAACCATGTCAGGGCCTGAGCGTTTTAGGGTTTATAAGGTTTGGTGCTGTCTTCGGCATGTTAGTAGGGCTGCCTGAGGCCTTCTGAAGGCTTTGGTGCATTTGAACTCTGGAGACCATCCAGCTCTTTTCGCCTCAGAAAGCCCTGAGCTCTCAACCCCCCTCCGCACACCTGAAGACCCGAAAATCGCCCAAGAAGCCCGAAATCCAACCACAACTCCTTAGGCCTCCAAGCTGAGCCTCTACATCCAAAAAAAAAACTGACAATCCAACGAAACACCCCGTAAGCCTCTGATCTGAGTCTCTAGAGGCCCCAGACGTTAAAGCCTTGACGCCTCAGGCTCTCCGCCAACGCGGCTATGGTGACTGGCGCCTGGATCCGGAGGCTCATGCCATGGGGTCCGCAAGAGGGCAAGGGGGACAAGGGCAAACAGCCGGTACTGGCACAAAAATCCTAAACCCTAAACTGCTTGGTAGCCCAGTGGTGCCCATGTCCCCTCTTTGGGTTCAAGGTTCCTTTATAAAGTAACCAACCCCCAAAAGGGCACCCTTATTACAATATGGTTACTGGGCTACTAAGACTCCCTAAACCTAGTACCAGACCCGGGCGACGAAGAAGGTCTGTTGTCCTACTCCATTCGTGCGAAGGCCGGCGCCCCACTTCCTTCATGGTAGGAGGCCCGAGATCCCAAACCCTAAACCCCTAAACCCCGAAACCCTGTGTCTTAGCTTGGGTTGTTTGCAGCCCTTGGGCTGTAGACAGCTCTGAAAAACCTTAAACACCCCAACAAGAAATCAACTGAAGCTCATAGACTGACCAGCAAAAGCAAAACTCACACTTGAATACGTATAAGCCCCGTAAGTCATCTAGGGTGTAGGGTTTAGGGTTTAGGGTTTAGGGTTTAGGGTTTAGGGTTTAGGGTTTAGGGTAGGTTAGAAGCAGACGTAGAATTGGGGTTCTAAGTACCCCTGAACCTCCAAGCATGCCTCCAGCAGCAGGCGGTGGTCCATCTCTTGGAAGCTCTGCGGGACCTTCGCGCGCCCCGGCCTTCCTAGTTTAGAACTAAGGCTTAACCCTCTCTGAACCCTGAACCCTAAACCCTAGCCCTAAGCCCGAACACTAGACCCGAAACCCTAAGGGTTTGGAGGTAGGGTTTAAGGTTGAGGGTCATGGGTCTGAGGTATGTAGTGTGGCCTCCGGTTTTTCCGCGATTCTCTCCTTGTTGAGAGGAAGTTTCCAATAGTCTCCTGTGTCCTTGCCCCTCTCTTACACCTGATGCTCAGAGAGGAGGATGTAGCTGTATCAGGTTGGCATGCATGCCAGCCGAAGTTCTGTGAGATGAACTGAATCACACTGGTGCAATGCTGTCCATGCCCCCACCATCGAGTAGGCGGCTGTGCTTGATCAGTTTAGGCTTCTGGTGGTATCGAGAGTCAATCCCACCAACACCTCAAACCTCCTGATAACCATGCAGTCTTGGAATACCATGGTGGCTTCAAGCCCCACCCCCCCCTCCCCCTCAAAAGAGTAGCTTGAGTAAGCGAATAGAATTGCGTGTTTACTGTTTAGGCTTTGGGTTTAGATGCCGTTGCAAAAATGAAGAGAGAACCCTGAATCCCTGAACCCTAAGCGCGAGGTCGAAGACGAAATCCTGCTGGAGTTGGTCTGCGATCGCCTTCCCGTGGCCTTGGCTAAGTCGAAGACCTCGCTCTTGCTGCCGCTCGCCCGAAATTTTTGGGGCTTAGGGTTTAGGGCTAGGGGTCCCTAACCCACAAGCCCTAAACCCTAATCCAGGTTCCGAAAGAAATATCTTGTGCTTTTGGGGTTTGGGTGAGGGGCCTGGATTCGGTCAGCCCTGAGACGATAAGACGATACAGGGGTTTCGAAACCAAAGCCCTGCGGGAGAATGCTGGGTTTAGGGGTTTAGGGGGTTTAGGGGTTTAGGGGTTTAGGTTTAGAGGTCTAGGGTTTAGGCGTTTAGGGTATTCGTGATTGGTTCCGAGACGTGCTCCACATGTCAGCTGTACTTTCCCCTTTGGAAGGAAAGGGGGTGATCCAACCCATGATTGTGGTTTTGATCGTGGGGTTGAGGATTTAGGGCTTGGGGCTAGGGTGTAGAGCTTTCGGTTTGGCCCGCTGAAGTGTCACCCCACCCTGTCACCCGAAGATTCCAGACCACGTACACAGGATGGTCCGCTTGCTGGAATGCCTTGGCGAGCTCCCGTCGAGGAGCGCGCCCATGTCCAAGTGATGCATGGCAAGGGCATTGACCCCAAACCCTGAACCTTGTAACCCTAAGCCCTAAACCCTCAAGCCAATGTCTTTCTCGGATGACCGCATTGCACGCCAAAATTGTCTTCAATGCAGGAGCCCGAGTACGGTGCCTGAACCCGAAGTCTAAGGCGCTGTGTAGAAAGGACCACGAGTACAAGCTCCCATTTTGACCATGTGCTAAGTGAATCCTACACCCCAGAACCCCGAACCCCAAACGCTTGACCCGATCATAGCGCAGGCGTGGATTTAAAGTTTAGGTGTGGCTTCGGGTTTAGGTTTCCAGACAAGGGTTCGTGGGTGGCCTCCCATGAAGCCCAAACCCTCGTTGTGTCAGGAGCCGTGCGCAAGTGGCGACACACCTCCACCGAAGACGGAAGCTACAATCTGCCTTGAAGGACATCTAGCCGAAGCCTCCCCATGCAACCCTAAACCCTAAACCCGAACCTCCCCATGAATTTGATGTAGGGGTTCACCCTAAACCCTAAACTCTAAACCCTAAACCCTTTCGCATCAGAAGTCCAGGCTATGGTTTTGGGTGTTTTTGGGTTTGTTAGTTTTTTTTTGGTTTGAGGGGGGGGGGGGGGGGGGGGGGTTGGGAAGTCCTATAAACAGCTTAAGCAGAAGGACTGCTTCACCGAGCACGCGGGCAAACGGCTGGACCTCGAGGCGCGGTTTCGTTACACCACTGAGCTCTTGGTTGCACAACGGCATGGAGTTTGGGGGTTTAGGGTTTCGGGTTTAGGGTTTAGGGCAAGTTTAGGGTTTAGGGTTTCGGTTTGAGGGTTTCGGGTTTAGGGGTTCGCGGCATGCCGCATGGAATTCAATTCTGCTGCCACTTCCCGACTCGTGTTGGGTGCTTGTGCCCGTTCAATTACGTTGTTTCGTGAAAACATTGCCTGCGATATTGGATACATACCTGTGGCCACTTCTCTAAATTGTGGTCCTTTTCGGGGTTACGTACGTACTATTATCATGCGGCCCCTCTTACTTGGGGTACCCCACAAGGGGATCATCATGTTGAGCACTGACCATGTCTATGCGTGTGTGTGTGTGTGTGCGCATATATATGGTGAGCTCTAGTTGATGCGCATGCTAAGCCCTAAACCCCAAACCCCAAACCCCAAACCCAAACCCTAAACCCTAAACCCTAAACCCTAAACCCTAAACCCTAAACCCTAAACCCTAAACCCTAAACCCTAAACCCTAAACCCTAAACCCTAAACCCTAAACCTCCGTTTGGGGGTCCAAGTCCATGCTTGAACCCTACATGTTATGTTACTAGGCAACCCTAAACCTAGCCCTAACCCCAAGCCCTAAACCCTGAAACCCTTAACCCTGAAACCCTAAACCCTAAACCCTAAACTCTAAACCCCAAACCCTAGTTCCTCAAACTCCATAAGCTCCAAATCCCAAGCCCTAAACCCGAAACCCTAGACCAGTAAACTCTACAAGCCCCAAAACCCTAAACCCTTAAACTCCCCAAACCCTAAACCCTTAAACTCACCAAACCCTAAACCCTAACACCCTAAACCTAAAGCCTAAAACCCTAAACCCTAAAGCCTAAAACCCTAAACCTAAACCCTAAAACCCTAAAACCCCAAACCCTAAACCCCTAAACCCTGAACCCTCAGCCCTAAAGCCCTAAACCCCAAGACCCTAAAACCCTGAACCCTTGGTCAAAACCCCAAACCCTAGTTGCTGAGAGACTTTGGACTTCTAGTGCGAGGCCGCTACATCCGCGAAAATAGAGCTCCAGGGATGCAGGTTCAGGGTTTAGGGTTTAGGGTGTAGGGTCCCGCCCCACATCACCTAGTCTGAAAACCCTAGTACCTTCATACTTCTAGCAGAAACCCTAAACCCCGAACCCCCCAGAATTAGCGAGCACTCGCCCCTCCGCAGGCACGGGTGGTCATGGCCCGCGCCATCGCGGGCGTTGGTCTGGAGAATCAGTATATCCAGGCTCCGGGACTGAACTGTTTGACCGACTTTGGGAAACTGCGATGGTGTAGCTTTCGGAGCGTCAGAGTTTCAGAGTCCTAAACCCCAGACCCTCAAGCCCCTGTAACTTCTTTCCATGTGTTTGTTAGCACCGCAAGGCCCCTGGCGACATCTCTCCAACGGTCCTTCTTACATTTCCTTTTCGATTTAAGGCTTGGTGGCACAGTGGTACCCTTTACCCCTTTTTTGCTTGGTTCTGGTTTCCCTTATAAAGTAACCAACCAAAAAAATGTGCCCTTATTATAATATGGTTACTGGGCTGACTAAGAAGGCTTCGGCTCAAACGAAGTATGGTCGAGAAAAGCGGGCGCAGAGATGATGGCAGGCCTAAGTCCAGAATGCCATGTAAGGCAGCATGACGGCCAGCCTGGCCTATAAGGCCGCAACAGCCTCGGACTGCCTGTGAGAATAGAAGGTGCCGGTACAGAACCAAAGCTTTACTACGGCTTCGCTTCCTTGTTCGACATAGCCAGCCTCTGCGTTCCTACTTAGAGATAGTCAATTGCTTCATCAGGAAGAACCAGGCCCCAATGGCCAGCCTGCGTGTTCCATTTTGAACTGGAAAAACCAAAAAGCAACGCCCCTAACTAACCCCCTCCCCCACGAAGACAAGCATCTCCTGAATCACGTTGTCTTTCCCCTAAACCCTAAACCCTATAAACCCTAAACCCTCATGTACCTCCTGATAAGACGCTTGGGCTTCAGAATCATAGAGGTGCTCTGGAGCATGGACTCTTCGGGTTTTTTGATTGTCACAAGCAAGCGAGGCACCCTAAACCCTCAACCCGAAAACCTTAACCCTTAACCCCTAAACCCTAAGCCCTAAACCCTACACCCTAAACCCTAAACCGTAGTCGCGAGACCTGGCTGGACCTTCTGGTGGCGAGCGACGAGGCGAACTCTTTGAGGTTGAAGACCTCGCAGATGTTGAGTCTGCCGGGGGTTTAGGGTTCAGGGCTAGGGTTTAGGGTCTATAGTCTATAGGGTTTAGAGTTGAGGGTTTAGGGGCCAGGCCCCGGCTACCCATGAATAATCCCACAACAGCAGGCAATAGCAGGACCCTAATACCATGATGCCCTCTCCCTTCCGGTCGCTGTTCGTGAGGGCCCTAGATCAAGGTTCAGGGTTGAGGGTTTTTAGGGATTGGAGTTATAGAGATTGGTAGGTGATTTCGGAGTATCCGTTTCCAGTGGGAGGTTGCCATGTTGGGGCCGGTTGAGGTTGCGCCGCCCAGATGTCGAGGATTGCGCTCGTTGTAAGCTTGGGTTCTGAGAAGGTATCCTCGAGCCTTTTTTGGGCATCGTGCTAAGCCCTAAAGCCCAAACCCTCAGCCTCGAGTGCAAAGTAGGTTTGGGTCATCTCTGGCCCAGGTGGATTTCAGCTGTCAAGAGAGAGGAGCCTGTCTTTTTCTTGACATGGGCTTTTTGCAGGCATTCATTTGGCTATGTATGGCTTTTTCTCTTCTATGAAGATCACCTATGTGACATCCTCATTTCGGGAGGAGGCTCCAGTTTGCAATATTGGAGTTTTCCTTGTCATACAGATCGCCTATGCGATATCTTTCCATGCAGTTCACCTATGTGATGTTTTCATGAGAGGTCTTTGATGCACAGAGTTGCACAAGCAGACCGCGACGAATGTCTAAAAACCCAACGTCGCTAACGTATTAACCGTGAACCTTTTTCTCCCAGACAACTCAACACAGCAAGTACAGCAAGTACAGCGCGTACAAAAATGGTGCCTGTAGTTTAGGGTAGTTAAGGGCCTTGTATCTGACTTGTATACACTTGGGCCTTGTTACGATAGAGGAAGTACTTCAGAGTATCTACCGCATGTAGGACATTGACGGGGGGCTTAGGGGTGTTTGGGGGATTTAGGGACCGAAACCCTAAACCCTATAGGGTTTAGCTGACATCATACAAAGCCAGGCTCAGATGGCGCGCCTGTCCGCAGAGTCGTGTGCTGACCTGAGCTGGTCACTGGCGCAGATGTCTTGGCAAATCGAACCTTTGCCTCGTTCAGAGCGGCTTAGGAAGTTTACGATTTAGGAAAAAAGCCTACTCGCCCCACGAGCTTGCGAGATTCTTGAGGACGCTCGGTTCGCACAAAAAAAAACAAACAGGCAGCGCGGCTGTCTAAACCCTAAACCCTAAACCCTGCACATGCGTTAAAGCATCTTGTTTGGAGGTATGGTCGCGTGAGCATTCCCTACTGTACCGGATTTGGATTTCGGGTCGGGTGGGGGGACATGGGCAGGGTGCGGGTGGGAGGGTGCGGGACGGGGAGGGGCAGGCGGCTGGGAGTAGGGGTTCTAACCATGACAAAAACGTTTTTACAATGACAAGGGTTTCTTTAACAATGATAGTGGGTTAGGGTTGGCACGATAGAGCGATAGAGCTTCGAGTGAGGCACAAGAGCTTCAATTCAGTCCCAATTCAGTCCCAAATGAGGCCAAGAGCTCAATTCAGTCCCAATTCAGTCCCAAATGAGGCCAAGAGCTTCAATTCAGTCCCAATTCAGTCCCAAATGAGGCCAAGAGCTTCAATTCAGTCAAATGAGGCCAAGAGCTTCAATTCAGTCCCAAATGAGGCCAAGAGCTTCAATTCAGTCCCAAATGAGGCCAAGAGCTTCAATTCAGTCCCAAATGAGGCCAAGAGCTTCAATTCAGTCCCAAATGAGGCCAAGAGCTTCAATTCAGTCCCAAATGAGGCCAAGAGCTTCAATTCAGTCCCGAATGAGGCCAAGAGCTTCAATTCAGTCCCAAATGAGGCCAAGAGCTTCAATTTAAAATCTCAATTCTGAGGCTTTGTCACTCCCATGCGGGTCTCGGGGGGGGGGGGGAGGCACGCGCAGTGACAGAAAGAACCTGGTTTTGGAGTTTTGGGAGGCCCAAAACCTCAATTCTCAGGTTTTCTTGTCACTCCCATGTGGGTCTGCGGGGGGGGGGGGGGGGGCACCCGCAGTGACAGAAAGAACCTGGTTTTGGAGGTTTGGGAGGCTTAAAATCTCAATTCTGAGGGCTTTTTGTCACTCTTATGTGGGTCTGGGCGCAGTGACAGAATTTTCATGGGGGGGGGGGGGGGGGCACCCGCAGTGACAGAAACAGGCCCAAACCCTCAATTTTCAGGTGTTTTTGTCATTCCCATGTGGGGGGGGGTGGGGGGGGCATCCGGGGGCACACCCGCAGTGACAAAAAGAACCTGGTTTTGGAGAGGCTTAAAATCTCATTGTCACTGCCATGTGGTCGGGGGGGAGGGGGGTCGCAGTGACAGATTCAGTGGGGGGGGGGGGGGCCCCAGTGACAGAAACATGTGGGTCTCTGGGGGGGGGGGGGGGGGGGGCACCCACAGTGACAGAAAGAACCTGGTTTTGGAGCTTTGGGAGGCCCAAAACCTCAATTCTCAACCTCAATTCTCAGGTTTTTTGTCACTCCCATGTGGGTCTGGGGGGGGGGGGGGTTGGCGCCCGCAGTGACAGAAAGGAGCTTTGGGAGGCTTAAAATCTTAATTCTGAGGGCTTTGTCACTTTTATGTGGGTCTGGGGAGGGGGCGGGCACCGCAGTGACAGAAAGAACCTGGTTTTGGAGTTTTGGGAGGCCCAAAACCTCAATTCTCAGGTTTTTTGTCACTCCCATGTGGGTGGGTCTGTGGTGGGGGCGGGGGGGGCGTTTTGGAGGTTTGGGAGGCTTAAAATCTCAAGTCTGAGGGCTTTTTGTCACTCTTACGTGGGCTGGGACAGAATTCGCAGTGACAGATTCAGTGGGTGGGGGGGGGCGGGGGCCCCAGTGACAGAAAGAGCTTTGGAAGGCTTAAAACGGGGGGGGGGGGGCACCCCGCAGTGACAGAAAGAACCTGGTTTTGGAGTTTTACCCTCAATTCTCAGGTTTTTTTGTCACTCCCATGTGGTGGGGTCTGGGGGGGGGGGGGGGGGGGGGGTGACAGAAAGAACCTGGTTTGGAGGTTTGGAGGCGAGACCTTTTTGTTATGTGGGTCGGGAGTGACGTTCTGCGGGGGGGGGGGGGGGGGGCACCCGCAGTGACAGAAAGAACCTGGTTTGGGAGGTTTGGGAGGCTTAAAATCTCAATTGTAAGGGCTTTTTGTCACTCTTATGTGGGTCTGGGCGCAGTGACAGAATTTTCATGGGGGGGGGGGGGCGCCCGCAGTGACAGAAACAACCTGTTTGGAGCTTTGGGAGGCCCAAAACCTCAATTTTCAGGTGTTTTTGTCATTCCCATGTGGGGGGGGCATCCGCAGACAGAAAGGGGGGGGGGGGCACCCGCAGTGACAGATTTGGGAGGCTTAAAATCTCAATTCTGAGGGCTTTTTGTCACTCCCATGTGGTCGGGGGGGGGGATTGTGGCTATCATGCACTGAGGCACAAATCCTTATCATGGTTAAGTGATTCCTTGTTGTGGTTAAAAAAAATGGGTCCTGTTTGCGGTTACGACCCCGCCTCGGCGGCTGGGGAGAGCGAACCAATTTTGGGTTCTTTCTTGCTTTAGAGGGTACTTCGGGTGGTTCAGTTCAGACCTGTTTGTGTCAGGGTATCGGGTTGTGCTTTGCTCAGGAATGAGGAGAACATCCTAAACCCTCAACCCTAAACCCTAAACCCTAAACCCTAGAAGTCCTCAACCTTGAACACCCTACTGCTGGGCACCGGCACCTTCAAGCCCCCGCATTTCCTTGTGTGCTCTGCCTGAGGAATGGAACCGCCGATTTTCTCGTGACCTCCTGTGCCAGCACTGCAGTTTAGGGGTCAGGCTTTGGGGCTTAGGGATTAAGAGGGGCCGGGCTGAAGAGCTTGGTCGAGGGTTTAGTCTTTAGGGTGGAGGGTTCAGGTTGAGGGTTTGGGGGTTCAGGGTTGAATGAGGGTTTTTGGGCTACAGTTGCCCTATAGGATCCGTGTAGCGGAAGAGTCGAATACCTAGGCCCCAAATGCCACAGAAAGGAAGTACCCAAACCCTAAACCCTAAAACTAAATCCTAAATCCTAAACCCTAAACCCATGCATGCACTCTTCGATGAGATCCTCAGGAACCGACTGCAGTTGTATGTGGTCAATCTTGGGTTTCAACGCAACGCATGCGCATGTAAAGGGTTCATTGTTTAGGTTTTCGGTTTAGGGCTCAGGGTTTTGGGTTTGCGGGGGGGGAGGGGAGTTGAGGTTTCGGATTGCGAGTAGGTGCGCATACATCGCGGAAGGTGGCATGTGGCTTCTCCCTGGGTTCATGTGGGTGTCCAATCTTCAACCCTCACCCCTAAAACCCCAACACCTGCCCCCAAGCCCTGCAACCCTACATGCCCTGAAGCCCCAGGACCCTAAACCCTAAACCCTAAACCCTAAACCCTAAACCCTAAACCCTAAACCCTAAACCCTAAACAGCCAGACCAAGGAGGCGCCTCCACCCTGCAGATGCAGCTGCCGCAAGTGAAGGTGAGGTGGCGTGGCAGAGGGTTTAGGGTTTAGGGTTTAGGGTTTAGGGTTTAGGGTTTAGGGTTTAGGGTTTAGGGTTTAGGGTTTAGGTAGGTTTTACGGTTTAGGTTTTGGTGTTTAATTTCGGGTTTTGGCTTTGCGTTGAACTGGAGTGTATGGATTTAGGTTCCCAGCCCCCCACCCCCCCCTAGATGGAACATAAGAAAGGTTTGGAGGTGGGGGGAAGGGGGGGCGGGGGGAGTGCGGGCGGGTCTGGGTTTTAAGTTGTTCTTGGGCCTTGAAGAGGTTTGTAAGTGCAAAGTCCTAGGCCCCAGACTCTCAACCCCACACGCCAAACCCTAAACCAGTTGAACTTTCATTTTTTCGGGCTTCCTGCTTTGTAGGACCAAAAAGGCTCAGCCATGTTATTTTGTGGTTGTCGGAAAAGTATGTCTGGTCCGAAGAGAACGTGCTCCTCATACCTGGGTTTTGTCAAGGGTTGAGGGTTTAGGGTTTATAAGGGCTTAGGGTTTAGGTGTTCGGGTTTTGGGTTTTGGGGTTTTGTTTGGAGCATGCAAGCCCTCACACTGTGCCGCGGAAGGTCTTCGGGAGCCACCTTTTCGCAAGGGTGCAAGGTTAAGAGAGGCGCTTTCCTGGATCTGGGTAGCCCAGTGGCACCCTTTCCCTTGTTTGGGTTCAAGGTTCCCTTATCAAGTAACCAACCCCACATAAGGGCACTCTTCTTACAATGTGGTTTCTGGGCTACCAAGGGATTCCCTGAACGTTAAGCCCTATTCCTAGATCCTAAGGTTTGGGGGGTTTGAAACTTTGGGTGCTCCCAGAACTTCATTCCTTTGTGGCGTACGTAAGCACAGGCGGGCTTGGGGTTTTGGCGGCTTAGGGCTTAGGGCTTAGGGTCTAGGTGTCAGGGTTAGGGTTGATGCTTCTGGGCGTGTCAGAAACCCAGCCCCTTAAAGGCCTTTTAATCCTAAACCCGCAGGCGCTGGACTTCGTGTCGACTTGCCCTTGGTGATTTAATCTCAATATTTATGTTAGTTAGTGAGTTATATATATATAAATGCACATGCACACATATATACATATAGAGAGGGAGAGAGTGACATCATGCAGTCTTTGCCTTTGCCCATGGACACGGCTGAGGAGTCTCTTCTGCCATTTCGGAGTCGACCTGCCCCAGGGCGCCCATGCATGATCACGTTCCGGGTTTAGGGTTTGAGGTCTCTGCTTCTTCCTGGTTTATGGCTTTCGGGTTCTAGGCTTTAGGGCGCCTGAGGGCTTGGTGTACGTACAGAAGGCTGCCACCCTAGACCGAAACCCGAAGTCTAAACCCCCCCCCCCCCATCACCCCCACTCCAGTTCTCACTAGGTCTAGAAGCGCCAGGACTTGGGCTAGCAAGTGCTACGGTGTAGCTTATCTGGGTTTTGCTGCCCTTTCTTTCGTTATAAGAGGATCTATTCATGATTGGTCTTCACGCAGTTTGGCTTTGGTTGGATGACTATGGTCAGTAGGGGGTGTGGTTGTGGACCGGGGTTGTGGGCCGACGAGGGGGGGGGGGCGGCTTGAAGGAGGACTGGTTTATGGTTTAGGTTTAGGGCTTACAGGTTTACATTGCTAGCCCGGTTCTTCAAGCCATGCATCTCTGAGCCGAAAGCCCGAAAGCAGCTTGCAGCTTGCCCGAATCCCTAGAGGTTTAGGGTCTGGGGTACAATCCCTGTGATCCTAAAACCCTCAAGGGACGAAAGGATGGACCCTTGTAAGGGACCTTAGGGTTCTTTGTGGGTAATTTAGGGGCTACTGAGGTTTACATATTATATAATATATACATATATATATATATAACTTAGGTATATATATATACATATATATATATGTATAGGGACTATACAGGGTATATTTTGGGGTTATGTAGGGACTAAGATCAAGGGTCCCTTCCAGGGGTTCCTCTTTATACCCCTTAAAACCCTAAAACCCTAAACCCTAAACCCCTACGCCTTAAACCCTAAACCCTAAACCCCAAACCCCAAGCCCTTCTCCTCTCAGGGCACTACTCCGCCTCGCCTGGGCCTGCGCAGTCCTGGGCGAGGCGCCACCGCTGCCCCTCCTCTCGGAGCTGCCCCCTGGTCAGAAAGCGGCTACACAGGGTTTAGAGTTTAGGGTTGAGGGTTGAGGGTTAAGGGTTTATTAGCTGCATTAACGCTGTGCTTGTGATCATGCGGTTATGTTTTGGCACATGCGATGCAGAGCGCTAGTTGCCTTTAGTCGTTTGCTTTTTCTTTATGTATTTGTTTGTGTATATATATATATATATATGTATATCAAATATAGACAAACATGTTTATATATATATATATGTATATATAGATACACATTTATCACATACATATGGATATAGATATTTTACATATGGACAGAAGGGGGGGGGGGGGGGGGGGCTGAGAGGGGGGTTGGGAGGGGGGGGGCGGGGAATTGCTGTTCAAGTGCGTGACGATCCAAAGAGTAAGCTAATTCACTGGGACGGGGTACCATAGTTATGTTATGTGTATATATATATGCATGTAATGCAAGTGTCCTTATGCATTTAACTTTAGCAGCAGCAGAACGTGCTGCACAACCCGCTTTAACAAAACTCCGGAAGCCTTCTTAAGGTACTCGAGCTTGAATGGGCAGTTCCCGCACCTCGGTGACGAGAAAGGGTGGAACCTGCATCAAGTTTCTTTGACATGTTGTGCTGAGTTTGTAGGTATCGTTAAACAACCCTAAACCCTGAACCCTAAACCCTGAACCTCTGGTATGATACAACCGGCAGAAACACAAATGGTTCACCAGTTGTCCCCTGGAAAGATCAGTAAGAGGCAGGATTGGTGTGGCACTGGGCTGCGCCAGCTGCAGGACCGCTGGCCCCCTAAACCCTAAACCCTGAACCCTACACCCTAAACCCTACACCCTAAACCCTAAACCCCACACCCTACACCCTACACCCTACACCCTAAACCCTAAACCCTACCAAGCCCTGAATCGTACCACATCATTACTCGCAACTCCGGACATTCAGCATGTCCGAACGTATCGTGCCAGAGTCGCACACATGGATTGTCCGAAACGGCTGGTTTTCCGAAGACTTGGCGTCCAATTGATACCACCAAAATCCGTCCCGGATCCCACCAAAGTTTAGGTTGTAGGGTGTAGGGTTTAGGGTTTAGGGTTTAGGGTTTAGGGTTTAGGGTTTAGGGCGACCCTCTGTTTTTCTTGTCTTCAAGGAAGTAGCTCACACAGCCTCAGGCATAAAATCGTTCCCACCTGTTGATTTGTGTTGGCAGGGCAAAGGGCTACTATTGCAGCTGTCCTGGCAGAACTGCCGATGTGTCTGTTTGTCGGTAGGACTTGGGATGTTCCCCCTTTGTACTAACAGTCCTTAAGAGGGATTTTCGGACCCCTCTACCCTAATCCCTATGAAGGACTGTTAGAAAAAGGGGGAACATCCCAAGGTAGGAGGGTAATCAGACCATGTTCGTTTTCTTCAGGTGGGGGGTTACGAAAATAGGGGACCCCAAAAATAGACCCCCCAAATAGTAGGATTCCCTTTTAATAAGGACCCCCAATAAGGTACCCCCGGAAGTCTTTCGGTGACTGTTTTGTGTTCCTGCGGCTTCCTGAAAATCTGGCGTTGTCTATGCTTCTTGCAGGTTGCCGGGGAAACGCCTGTGTTTTACTGAAAGAATGCAGTGGCACCTCTACGCAGCCTGCACCACAGCCTGAGCCCACACCGCTCAGGGCAAGTAGCCCCGCCACTTCGCAATGGTCTCTGCTCCGCAAAACCCTAGAAACGAGACGTTCTCGGAGTCCTATTTAGCTTGACAGCCCTAAGCCTAAACCCTAAACTCTTCTTGGGAATTGGTACCCTGGAACCCTCAACATCTAATTTATAAGCGTAGTTTCATGGGCCTTCAATGTGGTCCCATGGGCCTGAATTAATATGTGTTTAAGGGGTATATAAGGGGTACCCTTGTAAGGGCCCGTATTAAGGGACCATGTAACTACCCAAAGACGACAGAAAACCCTAAACCCTAAACCCTGATTGCGGAGTTGCGGAGGAAGTTGCTCTGCATTGGCAGCTCCACAGCAAGGCTCTCGGCCCTGGCGAGCCCCTGGTCCTTCTCAGCCCGAAAGAGCCCGAAAGAGCCCTGAACCCCTAAACCCTAAACCCTAAACCCTAAACCCTAAATAAACCTTAGATCAAACTGTTTGTAATCCGCTTAACCTTGAACTTTGAGGATTTGGGCTTGAGGGTTTGGGGTTTGGGGTTGTTCTGAGCTGCAGAGGCATTCCGCTTTTAGTTAAGGTTTACTAGCAGGCACGATGCTGAAGGAGATCCTTCAGCTACCACAATACCTTAGAACACTCCCAACTACCATCAACTACTCCGTAGCGACCCATTAGAAGGAGTTGATGCTGTCTTCAAACAGCATGTGCAGAGCAGAATGGGAGACGGTGGGGGGCAGGGGGTTCTTCCACACCCTCGCAAAAGCCTAGACTCTTTGAAGAAGTAGAGGAGGGAAGCGAGTTCTTGATCCACAGGAGTTATTTTTGGCGACCTTAAGTGGCCCATGGATCATGATCCCGAGGTCGTCGCAGCTGGCCACAGAGGTGCAGGAGTGGCTGGCCCTGGCTCTGGAGGTACCCCGGCCAGATCAGTACCTCCGCCAGCAGCCGCGGCGTGCAGAGCGGCGCCGAAAGCAGATCTCCGCTGCAAAGTACAGCTACGAGACCTGGCTGACCGTCACCTTGGCTCAGCTCCACGTGCCACACCAGGCCCAGGCTGTTATTGGCTGCCACCGGGTTCCCATCACCTTCCGTGCCCAGAGGCACCTCATCGACGTCCCTTTTCGGGATTCTTGAGAAATGTTTTTTTGGATTTTTGGGGTGCTGTAATTCCTATAAGAAACAGCTAGTATAACCACAATATGGTACTGTAGTTCCTAAGAAACAGCAAGTATAATCATAGTAAGGTACTGTAGTTCCTAAGAAACAACCAGTAAGATTACAATTTTTGCCAGGGCTCCACTAGTTCAGTATAGGTCCCTGTTGGTTGTGATTTTACATTTGTTTGTCATAACAAATTCCCAATAAGGAATAACAACAGATAGTTTTTCATATCACTCCACCAATTCCCTAATAAGGAATATAGAACGATAACTTTTCATATAACCCCGACAATGAAGCAGTAGAGGTCCACCCTAAACCCTAAACCCTAAACCCTAAACCCTAAACCCTAAACCCTAAACCCTAAACCCTAAACCCTAAACCCTAAACCCTAAACCCTAAACCTAGTAAGATTCTGATTTTTTGCTAGGGTTCCAAGCTCAGTAGAGGTCCTGGACCTCCAGGACATCACGGCCCCGGCCAACCGCATCACGGGCGCTGCGGAGCTGCGCCGGCGCCAGCTCCTTCAGCTACTCGAGACTTCTATTAGGGTTTAGGGTTTAGGGTTTAGGGTTTGGGGTTTGGGGTTTGGGGTTTAGGGTTTACTTGGAGGTTCATGGTACTTATTAACCCGTTACAACTGTTCTTATAACCCACCTTATAAGCCCCTGAAGTGCATTATGCTCCAAGTATGGACGGCTCTTGAATAGGAACCGTGTTTTGAGTCTTCCTTGGCTCTGCATTTTTTGAGGCACCATGAAGAGCATAGCAAAAGATCCTCCTTAAAAAAGGGCTTCCAAGATGTTCGAAGGTTAAAATAAGACATGAGTCAGAAGGCTTGGCTGGGCCATGCACTCCATCCACCTCCGGGAGCTCCATGAGGCCGTCCGCACCGGGAAGCTGAGGCTCACCATCTCCAAGCTCATCGCCTCCCTGGACCCGGGCGCGGCCCGCGCGGCCTCCTTTTCTGAGTCGGCCTTCACAAGCCGTGCGCCCAAAGTGCCTTGGTGGCCCAGTGGCACCCTTTTCCCTTTTTTGGGCTCAAGGTTCCCGTATCAAGTATCCAACCCCAAGAAGTGCACCCTTATTATAATATGGTTACTCGGCTACCAAGGTGCAGGTGCTGAACCGAGGTCGGTGGCAAAGCAGCAACATCCACCAAGCTCTTGGCGATTTTTCGGAGGACAGCGGCGAGGAGGACGAGGAGGATCGAGGTTCCGCCCGTTTGCGGAATCCCCGCTCCATCCTTCAGGAACGAGCCCTGAAGGCAGCGCAGCAAATTGATTGAAAAGGCACAGCCCGTGTGCAGGGCTGAATTCGCACCACCTTGAGATTCGCTGGCTGCCTTGGACACGCTGAAAGTGGTTATAGGGTTTGGGGTTTAGGGGCAGATCGTCAGGACATAACCTGCGCGGCGTTGGCGGCCTGCTTGGTGATTTGCTGTCCACGCTTGGGATCCATGAGCGGAACCCAAAACTCGATACTGATTAAGCCCTATAAACCCAAAAACCCTAAACCTAAACCCAAAAACCCTAAACCCTAAACCCTAAACCCTAAACCGCAGCCCCTGCAGGCCCCAGAAGAACGGCAGGTGCATCCGCCTTTGCAGGCACGTCTGGCGCCTCCGGTGCAGGCCTCGCACTTCAAGGGCTCTGGTGGGGGGGGGGGTCTTGTGGTGGGTTATCGTGGGTTTATAGGATTTCTTTAGGGTTTAGGGTTTAGGGTTTTGGTTTAGGGTTTAGGGTTTCGGGTTAGGGTTTTGGTTTAGGGTTTAGGGTTTCGGGTTAGGGTTTAGGGTTTAGGGTTTAGGGTTTAGGTTTAGGGTTTAGGCTTTAGGGTTTAGGGTTTAGGGTTTAGGGTTTAGGGTTTAGGGTGGGAGGGTGAGCTGTTCTAGGGCTCACTGGCAATGCTGCAGGAGTCGTTTGTTTGACGGTTGGGATAGTGCTGGGGTGGCAAAGCATTCCTGGACTTCCTCCCAAGCTTCCGTCTTCAACAACAAGCTCTTTGGCGCAGGAACACCTCAAGGCCCAACACCGCAAGGTCTATTGACCCCCAACCCCCCGCCCTCCCCCCCCCCCCCCCCCAAAAAAAAAAAAAAAAAAAACATAACTTGAAACACCGCAGAGCCGCAGAGCCCTAGAGAGCCTGAAGCCCAGAGCCCTTGACCCCTGAGCGTTTTAGGGTTTAGGGGCATTTAGGGTTTAACTAACCCTAAACCCTAAACCCGAAACCTTGAACCCTAAACCCTAAACCCTAAACCCTAAACCCTTAACCCTTATAAACCCTAAACCCTAAGCTGCAAGCCCCAAGGGTGACCAAACCCTGCACTCCCCAGCGATGAGAACTCCAGCGAACAGGCGCGCGCCTCGAAGCCGCTGAATGCAACCTTCGGTGCCCTACAGGCGCCGTGGCGCATGAGCCCCTCTAGCCCTAAACCCTAAACCCTAAACCCTAAACCCTAAACCCTAAACCCTAAACCCTAAACCCTAAACCCTAAACCCTAAACCCTAAACCCTAAACCCTAAACCCTAAACCCTAGCCCTAAACCCTAAACCCCAAACTCCGAACCAAAAAGTCGGAGACCGGGCCCCCCACCACACCCAAGATTCAAGCCCTCAAACTCCCAAAACCCCCAAGGCCGAAGCCCTGAACCCTGAGGGCCTAAGGCAGACCCTGATCTACAGTCCCCTTGCGAATTCGGCTTGTTTAGGGTTTAGGGTTTAGGGTTTAGGGTTCAAGGTTTCGGGTTTAGGGTTTATGTAGGTTTGAATAGAAGTCAAGGAGATCTTAACTTAAAACTGGGCTCCGTATTTTGGTTCGAAGGGGAGGAGAGCAACCCCGAAGATCCACATCACGCCCCCCAGAGTGCGCAAGGCCCACGCCTACGCGGGTGCTTTGGCGCAGGCGTTCGTCCTCCATCCTGCCTGCGTAAAGACTTGAGGGATTCGGGTTTCAGAGTCTATGGCTTCTAGGGTTTCGGGCCTCGGGTTTAGGGCCCAAGGTTTATGGCTTTGAGTGCTGATGTGCAAAGTGAGAAGGGCGCCGCAAGGGAGGAGTGCTCAGGGTTTATGGAGGTCATCTACTATTTGCTTAAGAACCCCAACAAAGATTCAAACAACATAATGCTCCCTATGTTACCCTCAAAAAGAAAGAATATTTATTGGGGGGGGTTCTTAAGCAACTAGTAGTCATCGGATGGCAAGAGGCATTGAGACAAGATGGGTTTGCCGAGAGGTTGCAGGTGAGAGCTTGGGCTTTTATATAAAGGGCGAACAGAAACAGACCCTTTTTCGGCGGGTAGATACGTTACTCTGCGCTTTTTCCTCACCCTAGACCCTAGACCCTAGACCCTAGACCCTAAACCCCAAACCCTAAACCCTAAACCCTAAACCCTACATGCTTTTTCGGGGGAGGTTGGGTGGGGGGGGTGGGGGTTGGGATTGCCGGTCCGATTTGGACAACTTTCTTTGAGGGATCACGAGGGAAGCACGCTTAGTTGTAAACTTTTTTGCTTACTTGTAACTCTCTGTGTTTTGGCTACATTTACTTGCTTGTAGCTTCTTTCTTTGCTTACTCGTAGCTGTTTGCGTTTCCCGAGGAGGGGTGCCAAAACCCTTGCTTGTCTGTAATTTGTGTGCGGCCTCAAACTGCGAATCTTCAAGTCTTGCAAATTACCGTCTTGCGGGGCTTTTGGCGCTTAGGCCTTATCCTATAGGGCTCTTGGGGGGCTTAGGATGTAAGGGTTCAAAGGCTTAGGGCCTAGGGTTTAGGCTCTAGGGTTTAGGCATTTAGGGTCTAAGCTGTGGGGTTTGGGGTTTGCGCAAAATTGTAGTCTAAAACGCTTTTCAAGATTCTTAATACTTTCGGAGTCTACTTCCATAACTAAAGGAATTAGGGTTTAGGGTGTAGGGTTTAGGGTTTAAGGGTCTAGAGGTTGATTGGGGTTGAGGGCCCCCAAACCCTGAAGCGCAAACCAAACCCCCCAATTCCCTCACAAATAATGCGCGTGCCAACAGTCCAGGCACTAAAAGTCACGGCTGAGCAACAAAAAGTTACGACTAAGCCCAAAAAAAGCTACAACTAAGGCAGCTACCATCCCTCGTTCCAGATCCAGTTGCAGGGTTTAGGGTTTATATAGGGTTCAATAGGGTATTCTGACACTCTAGGCTCCCAGGCAGGCCCTTGGGAACATGTTCGCCCTTATGAGGAACTTTCGCCCTACACCCTGACCACCCTAAAACCCTAAATTGACCCCTGTTATCTGCTTTCTCTTAACGGTTCCTTGGTAGCTGAATGAGTGCACTTTCCACTTTTTGGGCTACTACAATCCCCTACAGAACTGAAAGTGTACACTTTTGGGGGGGGCTTATGACTCAGCAACCAAAGTTCCGAGGACCTATTTTGCAACAAGCTTTAATTCCCTAGGGCCCAGCCGAGACCCTGACCTCTACCGAGATGTGGGGGTTAGGGATTCCTAGTATGCGGATCCTAGTATTTCTTTTGTGATGTATGGTCACTTCTCTCTAAATTATGTTCCCTTTTGGGGTTACTATTTCTGGCGGCCCATTATAGTCCAAATTAGAAGAAGGGACAATAATGTTGAGAACTTCCCAATACACGGGGTATGAAAAAGAAGCCCTGTTTTAGTCAATGCCGATACCCGAAACCCTCAACCCGAAACCCTAAACCCCAAACCCTAAACCCCAAACCCTAAACCCTAAACCCTGAACCCCAAACCCTAAACCCTGAACAGCAAGCAGCTGCAGGTCGCGGGGCATCCGCCACACCTCCCGCAGCACGCACCGCAGGCTGCACCACCTGCACCAGCCAGTAAAGCCAGCAAAGCCTAAATCCTACAAAGCCCAACCCCAGAGGCTAAACCCCTAAACCCTAAACCCTAAACCCTAAACCCTAAACCCTAAACCCTAAACCCTAAACCCTAAACCCTAAACCCTAAACCCTAAACCCTAAACCCTAAACCCTAAACCCTAAACCCTAAACCCGAATTAGACCTTCGACCCTCGAAATCCTAGACTCGAGGCTGCCCTGTATGGGCTTCATGTACCTCATCTGGGCTTTGGAGTACTATACTTGAATACTTTTTTTTGTTCTGGGTTCCTAGTATTGCTACTTATTACCTAAAAAGTATATACTTGTTTTTCCAGGGTCTACTCCAAAGCTAAGTCATTATTATCTACTTGGGCCCCATCTTCAAGTCATTGTACTCAAGAAGTGCTTTCAGGCCGAAGTGCTCCCTAAGTTAGGTACATGACCTGGGTTTAGGGTTTAGGGTTTTGCGGTTTAGGGTTTTGGGGTTTAGGGTTTCGGGTTTAGGGTTTAGGGGTTTAGGGTTTAGGGTTTAGGGTTTAGGGTTTAGGGTTTAGGGTTTAGGGTTTAGCCCCAGACCTTGACCAGCTGCCCCAGGCACCTCAACAGCCCATTCCGCAGCAACCTGCGCAGCACCTCCAGCGCTTGCACCCACCCGCCAGGGCCTTGTCGTGCGCAACAGGATGGGCTCTTCGGGTACCCCTAAACCCTAAACCCTAAACCCTAAACCCTAAACCCTAAACCCTAAACCCTCTAAATCTTGCCTTTTTGGGCGGCGGGCCCTTCTACAGTCTCCTCTGGCGTGACAGAACCCAGGGAAATGTTAAACATGCATTTTTTCATACCCCATCCTCGCAATTTTTGGGAAGGCTCTTTTTCCGCAGACTCAGACCTTGCATGTGGGTTGCTGGGTTTAGAACTCAGGGTGAAAGTCCCCAAACCCCACTGTAAATCCTAAACCCTGGGTTGTTGGGTTTATTAGGATTGCAGGTGCCAGCAGAGAAGATGGGAGCCCGATGTCGGGGTTCGTCTTAGCCACCTGCGGAGACAGATGCACGAACGGGAACCTGCTAGGATTCGTTCATGGTTTTCTGCGATGGTACAAGCAAATGTGCAAATATGAATCTACTCGTGCTATAGAATGTATGTGTATATGTAGACAGGTACATATGTATATGTAGCACGTAGCATCCCCAAACCCCAATCCAGCGACACTCTTTTTGCAACAAAACGTCGCCCTCGCATCCTGCGCCATGTCACTTCGGGCGGCCCTCACCCGTGGAAGCCACGAGCTTGTCTGCGGAATCACGGCCAACGTTTCCGGCTGCTTCGACTTTTGGACCAACCGAAGGGAAGCAGAACGTCGGTACACCACCAGCAACCTCAAGACCTTGCTGATATCAGTGGTGGTGACGAGCTTGGTATGTTGGCTTGTGCTTATTCCTATCCATCTGCTGTTCTACATCGCCCGCCTGATAATTTACTTTGCCAAGCCTCAGTGGAACCAACCCGCGGCGTCTGTCCCTTGTGCAGTGGTAGCCTTTTGCTCTTTTCGGGTTTTCGGTTCCCCTACAACAGTGACCAGCCTCCCCAACAGGGTATCCTTATTGTATTATGGTTCCTGGGCTAGCAAGGTCCACAGCAATATCACCTTCTACAACTTGCTCTTTGACGCATGCTGGTACCTGCCACTCATCATCCTCTTCCTGGCACGGAGTCTGGGCCATCCAATGGTTGATCACCAGTGGTTGCCTCACCCCAACCCCAAACCCTACACCCTACACCCTAAACCCTAAACCCTAAACTCTAAACCCAAACCCTATAGGTGAGGTGCTCCGAGGTACTGCACCCTTTTATACGCAGTCCCTCAACTGAAGCTACGCTTACCGTACAAGAAGCCGCAAAGGCCCTGAAGCTCTAAAGCCTGGACCTTGCAAAGGGAAGAAAAAAAACACCCAGAGCAAACACACAAAACCCACCGAAAACACCTATACGTGTTCTTTTCTTTAAAGAAGCCCTATAGGAACCCTTTGCCAACAAAATAGGACGAAGCAAAGTTTAGCACTCAAGGAATTTGAGTCTTTTCAGCTCGAAGCCCTTCTTCTCGCACCTGGACCGGCGCGCTGTTCCTCAGAATGTGAGGTTTAGGGTTTAGGGTTTAGGGTTTAGGGTTTAGGGTTTAGGGTTTAGGGTTTAGGGTTTAGGGTTTAGGGTTTAGGGTTTAGGGTTTAGGGTGTTCCACAGGGTTAGCCTTTTGCGTGTTTAGGGTTCTATGAGTTGTGTGGGTCCTGCAGGGTTTAGGGTTTTAGGGTTTTGGGGTTCTAGGGTTCTAGGGTCTTGAAGGTGTTGGGGTTGTAGATTTTTCGGGTTTAAAGGCTTTTGGGCATTTTCGGGTTCCAATGCGTTTTTTTTTGTTAAGGCTTGTAGGGCTTAGGGTTCAGCATTTCACGTTCCAGCTCTCACCCGCCAAGCTGCTCGTCAGACGACAGATAAGTACCCACCTGCCCATCGACCCCCCCCCAATCTTATGATCAACTCTCTTTGACACATCCACTGCTTTCAGTACTCGCTGTGCGCACCGTCGGGTCCTTTCAAAGAGCCCCACGCGGTTTTTCGAGTTACACATAAACTTGCAGCAGGCAACAGAGTTTCCGCTGAGATGCTGAGATTCAGGAAGCTACAGCTCTAAAGGCCTCAACCCCCCCCCCCCCCCCCCCCCCCCCCCCCAAAGCCCTGCACCCCTGACTCTCTACACCCTGAACCCCTAAACCCATCTAAACCCTCAACCCCTAAGACCTCGAACCCTAAACCCCTCCTCAAATACAGACTTGCGACAAAAGGAAACCCCCCCAAACCCATAGACCCTGAACCCCAACTTCGCAGAAACCCTCAAGCCCCAAACTTCCCATGGACTCTGAAATGACCCTAAACTGTTAAACGTTTAACACCCTATTCAATATATCCTACTCATCCCTCAACTTCCCAAAAGAATCGAACACTTCCCAGGGTTTCGGGGTTTCGGGGTTTAGGGGTTCTGGGCTTGAGGGGTTTAGGCCTTTAGGGCTTTAGGGGTTTAGGGGTGTAGATTTAGCGCTTTAGGGCTTTAGGGGTTCAGGGCCCCTCAACTTCCCACGGCTACCCTGGCTGGGCAGGACCAGTTCCCAAACCTCCGGGACGGCCTTAGCAGCTTGCCGGTGCAGTCCGATAGGTGCCTGAGCTGCAGGTTCAGGGCTTAAAGGTTTAGGGCTTAGGGTTTAGGGTTTAGGGTTTAGAGCTCTTGAAGGCTTCAAAGGAGTTTCGGGTGTTTCGGGCGCAAGTGCTTACGGTCCATAAGGGGCATTATTCAAAGTAGGGGTTTACGAGGCGGTTGCAAAACAAGCAAAGGGCCCGAGGATGCGGGTACCCTCGATTTCTTGATTTAGTCTTGCTCTCAAGTTTCGCATCTTTTATCCGGGGTTTCTTAAATCAATGATTTCTTAGTCAGTGCTGTCACTGTACCCGAGTTGTATGCCCTGAGTCACTACGCTGCAAGCATGAGAGTTGTGTTCAGATCCTAAACTCTGACCTGGAGCTGTTGGGTTGAAGGCTACACAGGAGGAAAGATGCCATTGCCTAGAGAGAGCCTTCAGCCCCAAACCTCAGAAACCCTAAGCCTCAAAGCGCGAACTCCTTTATGACTAAGGTACTTGATGCCATAAGCCCCTAAATCCTAAACCCTAAACCCTAAGGTACATGATGTGGCTCCGAGCCTCACTGAAGTCCATTGGCAAGCTGGTGCTGCTCTCGGTGGTCGTCTTCCTACTGAAGATGGGATTTCGTCGGCTTCAGCATGGCCTCAGTGTGTTCACGGTGTTCTACACACAGTACAGCAAGTACTACAAGAAGGCCGATGTGGGAGTGTGTCCGATAGTTTACGGTCCCCTTTTTTTTCCGGGGGGGGGGGGGGGGGGGGGGCTCCTAGAATAAGGATCAGAGTCCTTTGGGGAAAGTGAAAGTGGCCCCTTGTTGTTGGGAAGTACCCAGGTGTTTCAGCATCCCTGAGACAGCCATTCTTGCCGGACCACCAAGAAAACTGCCCAATTGCGATGGATGCTGATGTAGGAACCGAAAAAACCACGAACATCACCTTACAAACCTTAAACATAAGAATCAAAATCGTGATCTTCCTGCCCGAAAGATGCATTCAAAATCGATAGGCTCCTAAACCTAGTGCATGAATAGTATTAATCTTGTACGGGGGTTTATTGGTTGCGTCTCACCCTTATTAGTATTACCACTAGAAGTACTATTAAGAGAACTAAAAGGGCTTGCAATTTTATAATTAACAGATAAGGACAAAGTACGCATGCTTTTAATTGATACAATTTGCCCTTTTCATTCACTCCTTCATTAATATTACCGCGCGGGCTATTAGTAACAAGCGAGTAAGCCCGCATGAATGTCACATTATAAGCGAACGAAGCGTGCAAAAAGCCTGCGAGGAAATACTATTATTAGAGCCGCCCCTATGGAATACTATAATTTGGGCGGCCTCTTCACTCTCTTAATATCTTCACTCCTGTCCCTTTAATAATATTGTACGAACGAAAGGTAAATTAATGCACGCTTCGTTCGTAGAACATTAGAAAGGGGAAAAAGGCCTCATAAAATATTACAATTTCTAAACAAACCCTGAACCACAGACCCCTTAAACCCTAAACCTTAACCCCCCTACACCCAAATAGGCCCTGACCCCCACCCTAAACCCTAAACCCTAAACCCTAAACCCTAAACCCTAAACCCTAAACCCTAAACCCTAAACCCTAAACCCTAAACCCTAAACCCTAAACCTTAACCCCTAAACCCTAAAACCTAAACCCTAAACCCTAAACCCTTAACCCTAAACCTTAACCCCTAAACCCTAAACCGTAAACCCTAAACCCTAAACCCTAAACCCAGGTGAGGGTCTTTGCTGACCCCAAGTACGGCAAGCAACCCGGCCTCGCGGGAGAAGCGAAGCCGCGTGCCGGGCTCTGGAATCGTGGCAACCTGCTGATGCTGATTGGGAACCCTGGGTGCTTTTTAGGGTTTAGGGTTAGGGTTTAGGGGTTAGGGTTTAGGGTTTAGGGTTTAGGGTTCAGGGTTTAGGGTTTAGAGTTTAGGGGTTCAGACTTCCTTTGGCTTGGGGCCTTTGGGGGTGTGTAGGGTTCTGCGCTGTAGGTTTTATAGGGTTCAAGGAATGTTTTGTACTGGAGCCGAGAGTTTCTGAACGTACAGTTTGCAGAAGAACTCGAGACCACCTATGCAAGGAATCTCATGGTGGCCTACCTTATGTTCGACAACGTGGGTGTGGCCACACTGTTCCTGCGCTTCTACGAGTGGTACATCGCCTCCGTTGCTCTCAGCACGGAGCTGCTAGGGGAGTATACGTACAGGCTGACCTATCAGCAAGAGCGAACCTGTGTAGCCCAGTGGTACCCTCTTTGCTATTTGCTTGTTTCTAGGTTCCCTTTCTAAAGTAACCAACTCCAAGAAGTGGTACCCGTATTCTACATAATCTGGTTACCCTAAACCCCAAACCCTTTTCATACATATTATGACTGCTGGGGCTACCCAAGGAATCTTTGTGTACAGGCATGGCTGGTTCCTTTGCGGCTTCGGGACTGTGGTACTGGCGGCCTTCTATGTGCCCTTTCTGGGCCTCGTGCTGTACCACACCTTCCAGTATGCCACTCGACTGCCCAGTAGCACTGGTAAGCTTGTATCAGGGTTTGGGGTTCAGGTCAGATTCACCCCAAACCCTATGCACAAACACTGACACCCTAAGCCCTGCACCCGAAGCCCTGCACCTAAGCCCGGCACGCTTAGTTAGGCGCCTGTACACAACCCTCAAGCCCTTAAACTACACTTGGAGGCTCATGGTACTTATTCACCAATTATACATGTACTTGTAACCCACTTATAAGCCCCTTATGTGCCCTAACATGGTTACAATTACAGTTATAAGTACAGTTTTATAATTAGTTAATACATACCATGAACCTCCAAGTATCTGCAGTAGAACCAGCCCCCCCCCCCCCCCCCCCCCCCCCCCCCCCCCCAAAGATAGCAATCGGGTGGTAGCAGGGTCCAAACAAGTCTGGAAATCCATCTTGGGTTTGCCTAAACCCTAAACACTAGGGGGTTTAAACCCTAAACCCTAAACCCTAAACCCTAAACCCTAAACCCTAAACCCTAAACGCTAGGGTCCCTCATTTTCATACGCCCCACCCCCCCCCCCCCCCCCCAGCTAGGCCAGCGTGAAGCTTCTGGTAACCATGCTGGAGCACGACAAGAGTGCGGGTGAGGAGCCGAGGATGATCCTCTGGGACCGCCTGTGATGGAAAAAGGGTCGTTTCGTCGTTTAGGGTTTAGGGTTTTGGGGTTTAGGGTTTTTAGGTTTTAGGTTTTAGGGTTTAGGGTTTTAGGCAGTAAGGGTTTAGGGTTTTAGGGTTTACGGTGTAGGGAGAAGTCTAGATTCTAAGACCATGGGCAGATACTTTGAGGCTGCAGCCGAACCGACGCCGGCAACGCCAAACGCCTGGCGGGCGCAACAGGCAGGGTGCGGGGCCCTAAGCCCTAAGAGCCCTAAGAGCCCTAAGCCCTAAGAGGCCTAAGAGCCCTAAGAGCCCTAAGCCCTAAACGCACGAACAAGCCTCCAGGTGCAGATGTTTTAGGGCTTAGGATGCGCAGAATCAGGGCAGACAACGAGCTGCCCCATGGTCTTTGGGTTCTTTCTTGGGAACTAGCAAGGACGGCTGTTTACGCCACAGAGTTACGAGTCGAGGATATGTTGTTTTTTGGGGGCGAGGGTTGGGGTGGGTTTAGCTTAGGGCCGTTTATCCAGCCATCACCTCCAGCAGAGCATCGTCTGACTTAGCAGGCTTTAGGCTTGACAGATGCAGGCTTTTGGCAGTTAAGGGTTTAGGGTTTAGCGTTTTATCGTTTTGGGGTTTAGGATCTTCTCTAAAACCAGCTGGGTCTTTGGCGTTCAGGCGTTTGAGGTTTGGGGGTCATGAGGGTCCTTGCTGGACTTCCCCCCCCCCCTTCCCGCCAACATCCATGGGTGCATTCCTTACCGGCAATTGCCAGCGCCAGACTTCGGAGTTCAAAAAATCCGGAAACACTCGACTGAGTTAGGGTTTAGGGTGTAGGGTTGAGGAAAGCCCGAAACCACATCACAGTTTTGTTCAGGTGTCAAGGGTGGACGTTCAAAACCGATAGGCTAGCGTTGATGCCGCAGTCACTGGGCTGCGCACAAGGGTGACAGGTTTAGTCGGATCCCCAAGGAACAATCCCTAAACCCTAAACCCTAACCCTTTAAACCCTAAGTGAGACAAGTCCCCCTTACATGATGCATCCTCTTGGTCGGTTCTCTGATTTCTGCACAGCTCTGGAAACAGAAGATCCTATAGTGTCTAGGACCTAGGGTTTAGGGTTTAGGGTTTAGGACCAAAGCCCCATCTTGACAGTGCTGGGCAAGGCCCTAAACCCTGCACACGACAACTTCCCCATCTCGGGTGCCAGCCATGTGCTTGAGGAAGTAGAGAAGCCCCGGCCCCTAAACCCCTAAACTCTACACCCGAAACCCGTAAACCCCTAACCCCTAAACCCCTAAACCCCTAAACGCCTAAACCCCTAAACGCCTAACCCCTAAACCCCTAAACCCCTAAACCCCTAAACCCCTAAACCCCTAAACCCCTAAACCCCTAAACCCCTAAACCCCTAAACCCCTACACCCTAAGCCCTTTTGGCCAAACCCTAAGTCTTCAACCCCCCCAAAGGCTCCCATGTAGTACCTTTTTGGGGTAGTATCCCTACACCCTACACCCTACACCCTACACCCTACACCCTACACCCTACACCCTACACCCTACACCCTAAACCCTAAACCCTACACCCTAAACCCTAAACCCTAAACCCTAAACCCTAAACCCAAAAAGGAACCACACTGGACCCTTCAGGGAAAGCTCAAAGTCCAAACTCGGGGTGGGCCGTGAGGCGCACCACGCCGGGAATCGACAAGGAGACCAGGCACCTCGACTTCAGGGTTTAGGGGTTTAGGGTTTAGGGTTTAGGGTCCAGGTGTTTAGGTGTTTAGGGGTTTAGGGGTTTAGGGGTTTAGGGTTTTAGGGGTTTAGGGGTTTAGGGGTTTAGGGGTTTAGGGTCTAGGTGTTTAGGGGTTTAGGCGTTCAGGGGTTTAGGGGTTAGGGTTCAGGGTTTAGGGTTTCGGGTCTAGGGGGTATAGGGTTTCGGGGGTCTAGGGATTAGGGTTTAGGGTTTTGTCTTCGGGTTCTTGGGTTCCCGTGGATGTGCGACCCCGGCGTGCAGGACGCGTGTTGCCGGGCCAAAGCCTTCTTTGTGGGGCAGGTGCATGGAGCACCCGCGCTGCACACAACTACCTCACGTGTATCGGAGCGGCCGTCGCAAGGGGGAACTTGCACTCCACTGCAGCTCCAAAGGGATGTGAAAACATAGGGTTTCTCTTTTATGGCTCTAAGGGGGGCGCAGCTCCCGCCCGACAGAAGCCTCTTGAAGTTCCCGAAAACCCTAAACCCTAAAACCCTAGACCCTAAACCCTAAACCCCTACGCCCTAAACCCTAAACCCTCCACCCTAAACCCTAAACCCCTACGCCCTAAGCCCCAAAGCTTCGACCCCCCAGCCCCCACCACGCTTAGTGGCTTCAGAGGCTGCGGATTGCTTAGGGCGTGTGGGGCTCCAAAAAAACGTTTTGCAAAGGAGGGCTCCTTCCTCCAACAGTCGGGGGGGTTTAGGGGGTAGGGTTTAGGGTTTAGGGTTTAGGGTTTAGGGTTTAGGGTTTAGGGTCTATTGGGTCACTGTTCTAGCATTGATAGTCATTAGGAGGTTCCAGGCTCAGAAAAAAACCCACCCGCCCAAAGAATCCTATAACATTAAGAAAATAAAAGGTTTCCATCTTACCGAGCCCCCCGACGAACAATCTGACCCCAGTGTTCGGGCGATTCCGGCCAATCTGACCCCAATGTTCGGGCGATTTCGGCCAGGCCGAAAAGTCACGAACATTGGGGCCCCCAATGTTCAGGCGATTTCGGCCAATCTGACCCCAATGTTCGGGCGATTTCGGCCAATCTGACCCCAATGTTCGGGCGATTCCGGCCAATCTGACCCCAATGTTCGGGCGATTTCGGCCAGGCCGAAAAGTCACGAACATTGGGGCCCCCAATGTTCAGGCGATTTCGGCCAATCTGAGCCAATCTGACCCCAATGTTCGGGCGATTCCGGCCAATCTGACCCCAATGTTCGGGCGATTCCGGCCAATCTGACCCCAATGTTCGAGCGATTTCGGCCAGGCCGAAAAGTCACGAACATTGGGGCCCCAATGTTCGCGCGATTTCGGCCAATCTGGCCCCCATGTTCGGGCGATTTCGGCCAATCTGACCCCAATGTTCGGGCGAATCTGACCTCAATGTTCGTGATTTTTCGGCCAGGCCGACATCGCCCGTCAGATTGGCCGAAATCGCCTGAACATTGGGGTCAGATTGGCCGAAATCGCCCGAACATTGGGGGTCAGATTGGCCGGAATCGCCCGAACATTGGGGTCAGATTGGCCGAAATCACCCGAACATTGGGGGGCAGTTTGGCCGAAATCGCCCGAAGGTTTAAATAAATAAATAAATAAAAATATAAATAAATAGATGAATATATATATATATATGATAGAGAGGGTTTAGGGTTTAGGGTTTGGGGTTTGGGTTTGGCGTTTGGGGCTTCGGTTTGGGGTTTAGGGTTTTTCATGATAAGGCGACGGCCAGGAACCAGGGCCCAGTACCATGAGCAGCTAGCGCTGATCCTATATTGGGTTTAGGGTTTAGGGTTTAGGGTTTGTTTAGGGTTTAGGGTTTAGGGTGGAAAACCCTCCGGAGTGCGGCCTCTGGCCTATAGACCCCAGACCCTGATTCCTACACCCCCCCAAACTGTCAACCTCCCGACTCTAAATCTCTCTAAGCCCCTTAATGTCATACCTTGAGCCCCTAAACCCTAAACCCCTCAGCCCCAACAAATACCCTGAACCCCGAAACCCTAAACCCCATAAGCCCCCAGCCCTAAACCCTAAAACCTAAGCCCCTAAGCCCCTAAGCCCTTAAGCCCTTAAGCCCTAAGCCCTCAACCCTCAACCCTAAACCCTAAACCCTGCCTGGCCCTGAACTCCAAAAGCCCCCAAGCAGATCTCGGTGGCCGCGCTGGCGTCGATGTGGCCGAAGCCCGGCACATGCTGGGAGCCGGCGCCGCAGGGGGAGACGACAGAGGCCAGGGTTTAGGGTTTAGGGTTTGGGGTTTGGGGTTTAGGGTTTAGGGTTTGGAGTTTGGGTTTTAAGGGTTTAGGGTCTCGGGTTTCGGGTTTCGGGTCTAGGGTGGCTGTGCAGGGTTTAGGGCTTTCGGTTTTTTGGGGTTTGGGTTTTCAGGGTTTATTTTATTGTTTTCTTGAGGGGGGGGAGGTTAGATAGGGGTCTGCGGGTGTTTATGATTTTGGCGGTTTATTTTGTGGGTTCTTTATCGGTGTTAGGGGTTTTATACAGGATTTTGGGGGTCTATGTAGGGTTTTGCGTTTTTAGGACTTTGGGGGGGGGGGGGGGGGGGGGGAGGCTTTATAGGGTTTTGGGTTCAGGGTCCTGGTAGCCGTGCCCGTTTTGGTAAGATTTCTTGTTTCCCTATCGAGACTTAGTGTAGATGTGCAGGGATTAAGCCAAGGTGCAGGGCGTTTGGAACAACGTCTGGGAGCCCTCAGTCCTCAACCCTAAACCGGAAAACCCCCTAAACCCTAACGCCTAAACCCTAAGACCTCAACCCTAAACCCTAAACCCTAAACCCTAAACCCTAAACCCTAAACCCTAAACCCTAAACCCTAAACGCTACGAGGGGATTTCAGGCACGGAGGTTTTCCAGGCGTTCGGAGATCCAGGATTGGTGCCGGGTGTGGGCCCTCATTCTCTGCTGTGTTTTGGTTTACGGGTCTTGGGGTTTTGGGGTTTATGGTTTATTGTTTAGGGCTTAGGGTTTTGGTCCCGGCCACCTCCAGCAGGGACGCAGTCCTTGCTGAATCATCCAGACGGGACCTGCAAGCGCTTGCCTAGACTAGACTCCCAGTTTCAGTTCCTCTTTTGTGTTGCAGAAAGTTCTGCTGAGGACCACCGGCTTACTAAATATTGGCACCCACAATCTGCAACAGCCGTTTATTGCCCCAAGCTCTAAACCCTACTAATTTGGGGGGTGTCTAGGTTTAGGGTTTAGGGCTCTTGGGCTCTTGGGCTCTTGGGCTCTTGGTTGTGGGAGTCTCGTGATGGCCCCCCTGTGTGCAGGAG